CCAAAGAAATTTCGAAAGCCGCACCGGCGGGCGGCGGGCCGGTTCATCGTGCGGCGCGTCGTCCCCAATCCCTGGTTTGTTGTAAGACTGCACGGAGAGGTTTCGGTTTCGCGCGAGCGACTCGAAGCGGTGTTTCCGAATTAGGATCAAACCCCAAATGCATATAAACAACGTGCGCTGTCAAAAGTGTATCGCCCAATGTGAGGCGTGTTCGAATTCCTTGGTGCTGTTACCGAGTGTATTGTCCAGTGAATAATATTCGTGGTGACACTCTCAACTGAGGGCACTATTTAAATTTAACGGTCAGACCTACGCAGGTTTGGTTTGTGGGATAAATGTACAAAAAGTTAGTTCGCGCATTATTAGCCGTTTCGGCGACGTAGTTCGCCGAAAGAGCTCCTGTTTATTGAATGTGTTCATATTAGGATAATGATTATAGATGAAGGGGTTCTTTGCTGTTGGGATTCTAAAGAATTGTATGTGATTACATAATGATTGTACAGTGTGCAATGAATATCAGTTGTGTGAGTTGATTGAGGGCGCTATTCAGGTTTAACGGTAAGCCTACGCGCAGTTTGTTTTGGGAGTTAAACGTACGAAAAGTAGTTCGCACATAATTTGCCGTAATGTTAACGTTGTTCGCCAAAACAGCTCTAGTTAATTGCGTGTTTTTCACATTAGGATTAAAGATAGGGACCGCTGCCTTTCTTTGATTCTAATTTCAATTTTGATGACGTCATCATGTTTCACAGGTCACCATACAAATAGTTATCATAATATCTTCCCCTCTCTACTTTGTATCTATTCAAAAACCATTACTCCATTCACATCTGAAAACAAACTTGTAGGAGAAAAAAATGAGCTAATTATTAAAACATTTATTCATCGAAACCTATTGAAACCAAAAGTGGGATGCTGACGTCTGTGCCCATTCACTGCCCGTAGCGAACAATATTGTTTTACATTTCAGCATGGTTAAAGTTGACGCTTTGGTCAGAGACAGAACTAAAACTAGAGGGCGCTATTGCAATATTTAGAGAGTACGAGCAGCTGACGGTGGTACATGGTACATGTACGAGCATCGAACTCAGTGCAGTGACGTATTAAACTGGATCCAATTTGCTAGGTGGCCGGGGTGCGAATTTTTTTTCTCCCAAACGACATCCACATGTACGCTATGGCGTTTTGGACTTAACTTTTCTAAAAACATGAGAAGCAAATATAAAATTAGGGAAAAAAATGAATTCGAACGTTTTCAAATTTGGAATTTATTTCCCTTAAAAAAAAATCTTCCGAAGCCTCAGGTTAGAAAAGAAAAAATTCGGGTGCAAAACTGTGTTTCGAACCCGCAACTTCGCGGTGTAAAATCACGACCCTGTATCGACTGAGCTATTGCAGTACTCGCCAAAATGTAGGGATATAAATAATTATTTACCTGCGTACGTATCATAAAAGTATCCTAGAGGTCGCCAAGTACCCATGTATGCGGATGTCGTTTGGGAAAAAAAATTTGCGGCCGGGTGGGACCTCTCTTTTGAAGGGGGCATTCATTGTATCGGGTTACTGGCTGTACTTCGAGATACCCAATCGCGAGGCTTCAGTTGCCGGATGTAATCCAATGTATCATTATGGCAACGAGTGTTACCAAGGTACCATAGCTAACACACCAAGGCCAAACGCGCGTGCGCGAGTGTACTGCTGCCCAAATCGTGCGTGACTGCAAGTTGTCAACTCTATTGGCCCTTTTACACAGTTGGGTTATAAGAGCGACTGACCGACTGTACTTGCAACTACTTAAATATGTACTTATCTGCCTGGGAAAAAGGGATAGAACCCCCAAACTCTCATCAGATTTGACTAGAATGATTGCACCCAGCTGCATATTCAGGTAGGTGCATCTAATCTGATGAACTTTTAGCTCAGTGAATAATGTATATTTCAAAGGGAAAAAAACAATATTCTAGGATCTCGATTTTAATTCAAAAGTTGCCGAGTGGTGTTTTGAAATGCGCCCGAATCAGCATCCGGGACACGTTCTCATTCAGCCGATTGCAGCTACGCGATCTGCACCCGATTTCATCAAACTCTTCGTAACTAATACGATGCATTGCAGCGATGCGACGCGTCGTATCTCTACGATGCGTCGCAGCTGCGACGCGTCCTGCGATCCATTTCACAAAACACGTCGTAAGTGCGACGCGTCGTAGGTGTATTTATAGCACAACTCGGTGACTGTTTTATGTATTTAGTCAGCGTACAGTAAATAGTCGTCTGATATTCAACAAAGAGTCGTCGGATCTCAGCTCGAAATTTGTTAAAACGTAAAACAAAATGGCGGCCGTGCGATGCAATTTTGAAGGAAAACAAACTCTCATTGGACTGTATAGCTACTTTGAAATTTCAATTCTAATATTCCGGTCTAATTCATAATTATTCAATGAATTTTCTATTTACAACTTTACACACATTGCCTCGGTATTATAATCTCGTTAATGTAATGTTAATGGCATAAAACTGGCTTAGAAACTACTCTTCTTATTTTGCGACGACCACTAGACACGTCTTAACTTGCGACGTGTTTTAAGCCGTTGTCAAGGAACTTACGACGCGTTCAACACATCGCAACTTTCGTGAAATGGAAGATACGACGCGTCGCGAGTTGCGACGTGTTACACGTCGTAACTCGAGTTGCGACGCGTCGCAGCGCTTCGTGAAATCGGGTGCAGGATTTGGTGGGGATTTTGTTTTTGGTGGTGATTTTGTTGGTGCACCCGATTTCACAAAGCGCTGCGACGCGTCGCAACTCGAGTTACGACGTGTAACACGTCGCAACTCGCGACGCGTCGTATAATCCATTTCACGGAAGTTGCGAACGCGTCGTAAGTTCCTTGACAACGGCTTAACCCTAAAGGGGCCGGGGGGGCGGAATCCGCCCCCCCCCCCCTCAACATTTTCCGCGATAACTTCTAAAAAAAAATTTTCGCGACCCGAGCTGTTATGACTTTTTAGCCTCGAGCTTTGCGCATCTTTTGATACCAAAAACATAAAAATCGGACCACGGGTTGGCACGTAGCGAAAAATTTTCCGGCGCTACGCGCCGTGAAAACTGAATTTTCGCATATACGTCGTGTACACGGAGCAGAATTGCCATTCATACATATGAATAATTAATTAGCCATAATTCCAAAACCCTTTGACCTATAGTCATGAAATTTCTTGGGCATGTTTAGGAAGAGTTGCTCTATGCATGTGCTGAGTTTCAAAATTTTTCGTCACTTGATGGCCGAGATCTTAGGGGGGGCGGAATCCGCCCCCCCCCCCCCCCCCCCCCCCGGCTGAGAGATGGTCAAAATAACCCGGCCCCTTTAGGGTTAAAATACGTCCCAAGTTACGACGTGTCTAGTGGTCGTCGCAAAATAAGAAGAGTCCGTTTCTTAGCCAGTTTAGTTCCATAAACATTACAAAAATGAGATTATAATACCGAGGCAATGTGTAAAGTTGTAAATAGAAAATTCACTGAATAATTATGAATTAGCCTGGAATATTGCAGTTGAAATTTCAAAGTAGCTACACAGTCCACTGAGAGCTCGTTTTCCTTCAAAATTGCACCGCACGTCCGCCATTTTGTCCTACGTTTTAACAAATTTCGAGCGGAGACCCGACGACTCTTTGTTGAATACCAGCCGACTATTTACTGTACGCCGACTTAATACATAAAACAGTCACCGAGTTGTGCTATGAATACACATACGACGCCTCGTTTTGTGAAATGGATCGCAGGACGCGTCGCAGCTGCGCCGCATCGTAGGGATACGATGCGTCGCAGCGCTGCGATGCATCGTAAGTTACGATGAGTTTCGTGAAATCGGGTGCTGCTGGTGCGCCGCTGTCAAAATGTTAAAAATGTAGGTTTTTTTGTTTAGGGCACTGTACTGTTGTGAACACTCGGACTAAACGATGGATGTTTGAAAACGTCTTAGAAAATAATTAAGAAAAATTAATTATGCAAAAATGGACAATAAAGAAAGAGTTTTATACGATCGAAACCCACTATAAAGCGAGCAGAAATACAAAAAACCAGCTCGCAACTAAGGAACGTATAAGGACCATATAGCTTTCCAATCCAAAGTGGTACGAAACATGCATGGGCGTCGCGAGGGGGGGGGGGGTGAAAAGCAAACAAAACAAAAAAGGAGAAAAAAATAGAAAACGAGGGGCGAAATCATATGCTGTTAATTAGATGCACATTTAACAACATGTGCGTCTGCAGGGGTGTCAATGGGGGTGCAAGTGGGCAAATGTTCTCCCACCCACCCTAAAAAAAATTGGTACATATTAATAGAATATGCTGGGGAAAACACAAGAATTTTGGAAAATAATGTGCTTTGCCTCTCGGAAAAAAAAAATCGTGGCGACGCCCATGGAAACGTGGCCATATCAGCATCACACTGCAATCGAGTCATTGGTTTTATGTTATCGTTTTTTTGATCCCAAGCATGCGTATTCATTCACAACACTCCTCCGTTGTCTTGCCCTGATGGAAAATTATCGTGGCCCTGAAGGGACATCACGCATCGCAAATATCTTTGCAAAAATTTGCGATGCCGAAAATTTTATCGCAAATACTTTGCAAATATCTTTGCAAATATTTGCAATGTGGCAAATATTATCGCAAATATTTCTGCAAATATTTGCGATAATATCTGCGGCATCGCAAATATTTTCGCAAATAAATGAAAGTGCTACATGCAGAACTTCACTAAAACAATAGTCCCGACATTGGGGTTTCGTGGATTTTTTTTACTCACCCTGTATAAAATGAAAACGGCAAATATAACTCCACCCGTCACCTTCAAAAATTGTATGAAATTAAGTATTTGACTGTGGTTAGAAAGTTCAATTAAATGAGAATTCACATTGCTGTATATCCAAGTCTGCATTTGACCGGCTTTTTTTTTCGTTCGATTTTACCTTGACAGAATCACTCTTTCATCATCAAAGTGGCTGCTACCACGTCGCTTCACACCCTTTTATATAATAAAATTTAATGAAGTTAGAACCGTTGTTCCGTTAATTTATCAACGGTTTCCATAGCAATTAATTGGGCGATTGTTATCCCTTTCGTGTCGTTGGATTTTGTTCCTGCTGATTTGCACGAAGAATGCAAGAGACGGCTGTCAACGCCATTGGCACTCTCAAGGTCGAAAATTTGCCTCAAACATTCAACGTTTTCGTCATTATCAACGAATAGAGCTGCGCACTTCGGAAAGGAACGACAGTCCATGTAGACTATTGGAGCAAGATCTTGACAGAATTAAATAAACCGACATCGAAGAGAAAATGCTACTTTTGCTCCTTCTCCTCCCGATGTCTGGCCTGGTGACCGAGGCTTTCTTCGGGTCTAACTGCCAAGATAGGCAATCGAAACCGTGCACCAGGGGTTGCTCGGTGGGTCTGGAGCGTCATTTCAACGGCGTAACGAACCGCGTCCTGCCCGGCCACGGCTACCGCAACCTGACGGTAGTTTCGCGGGTCCTGTGCGGCAGGGAGTGTCTTATGGATGATCGCTGCTTCTCTTTCCACTACTCGAAGGGGGAGAGGCGGTGCGAGTTGAACGGGGCCACAGCGTCGCGATACCCGATGGCTGTGACTGAGAGAGCCGCTACCGACTACTACGGTCCAGAGGAGGTAGGATATTATCCATTAAAGTGTTTCTTGTGCATCTTTGTAAGTTATGGATCCAAGGCATAACTTAAAGTTATGGTCAGAGATTAACGTTGGGGATTGAGTCCAGTCCAGTCCAGTCCAGTCCAGTCCAGTCCAGTCCAGTCCAGTCCAGTCCAGTCCAGTCTAGTCTAGGATGCAAATTTTGGAAACTGGGTCTCAGTCTGGGTCTGAGTCTAGGTCTAGGTCTGAGTCTAGGTCTAGGTCTCGGTCTGGGTCTGAGTCTAGGTCTTGGTCTGGGTGCTGTGTCTGAGGCCGTGTCCGAAACGGGCTTCCAGAGCTACGGCTACGTCTATTGTCAGCGCGTCCCCGCGTATTTTCAATGGGCGTAGAGCTAGACCTAGCTCTAGACAGCTGATTCGGATGCAGCCTAAGTCTGGATCTGGGCCTGGTTTGGTCTAGTCTGGTCTGGTCTAGTCTAGGGTGCAAATTTTGGATTGTTTTGTGTTAACGATAATAATAGTGATGACATTCCAATTATGCGGCATCCGAATTTCTTGTCTAGAGCTTTATTGTCTAGGTCTCCGACTATTACAACTACTCGGAATCTAGCTGACAATTGACGAACCCGTAGCTGGACCTGCCCGCGTTTGACATGGACTTTATCATTAGAAGCCTTTTCCCATTAAAGAAACGTAATTTTATGATAACTTTTTGTTTTGCTGTTTGAGCATTTTTATTTTTTCCAAGCAACAATATTACACAATATCATAAGTAGGGTGTACAAAAACTAACATTTGGATCAGTGAGATACTCTACCTTTTGAGAAAACAGACAAAACGTGCAATTTTTTTTAAAGTCCAGTGGATACCGTTGCTAACGCATGTAAAAAAAAAAGTGTGTCAGCGGGCACATTTTGAAAAAAAAACATTCAATGATTGCTTTCTTTCCATCAAAACCATTTTGGCGGAGTAATTTCATAAGGTATTTTGGACCAATCCCATCTTCACTTTGAGCAATTAGTTTTTCTCATTAACTCGGTAGGTATACATGTAATATAATTTTCTGTGTGTATTGCTTTATGGGAAATTGAGGTAATTTCATATTAGTTTGGGCAAATAACATTAGCCAACACTTTTTTTTACAATTTGTGTTTACAGTGTGTAAGAAAAAGACGCCTAATTTACAAAAACGTAAAAGCACAAACGCTGCCATCCCCCCCCCAAAAAAAATACAAAATATTAAATACTTTATTTCACTACAAACATACAACGAGGATAACCTAACATATTAGCCAATTACTATTTTTCGCCCTTGCTCAAAGCACACGCAATCAAAAAGTATCTCCGCCCCTATTACGGATGATACAAACTGAAGGTCCCTTTAATAGAATGCTTCGCTTTTCACAGTTCTCGCTTCTTTTGTTTCCAGGCACGTTTTGCCGAGCTGCTAACAAATGCAAATGAAGGTAAGAATAAGCTCTCCAGTTTTTAAAAAAAAACCGCACACATAAACTAGAGGGCTATGTCTGTTGGAAACAGAACATAGGGCTTTTCTGCAATATGATTTTTATATGACTTTTTATGACTCGTCTGAATTTGATTTGTCAATTAACCGAATGGAAAGTAGTGAAAAATGTTTAGCCTTGAAATGAGGCTAATCATCTGAGGACGTTCGTATTTGAATAAATATGATCGTGTGAAGAATTATTATTTCGGGAAACAAAAACACTTTGTGCAATAGCCTAGTACACATGTATTAGCCTTGAAATATGACTAGCTGTCAGTGTACTAAATTCAACAGTGACCGAACCCAATTGTACGTGACCTGTGAACTGCGAGTCATCACGGTCATGACTCTGCAAGGTTTAAAGCTACAGTCCATCATTTGTAATTTGTGCATTTTGTTCGTTTGAAGCAACAAAAGAGTTCAAAATCTAATGAAGGATACTGAGCAACTAACCTGATGAAGTTTCAGCTTAGCTTCAGCTGTACATTCCGAGAAAAACAGCATTCTAAGATCTCAATTTCAAATCAAAAGTTACTGAATCATGTTTTGAATTGTTTTGAATTGCAGCTATACGCGACGTAGCGCACTGATCCGACGAATTATAACAACCGCGCGCGCGTGTGCGTCGTTCCAATGCTTGTGCGCGCTGCGCTGAATAATAAAACGAACTACTAATTTAAATTTTCCTACGGTGCTTCTTTAAGAATCACCGTTGGAAATGCCTTCTTTCGTTAATTACTTCAAAATGATAGCTTCCCAGAAAGAATAATTTCACAGGGAGTTTAGTTTCCTTACTATCTTTCAACCAAGTTTGTTTTTCAACAATAAATACGACAGTTACTTTTCGGATGGCTGCAAATGATGGACTATAGCTTTAAAACGGCCGTTAAGAGTCATTTCGTGTAAATACTTAATATATGTGTCCACGCTCAAAAAATCAAATTTTTTAAAACTTTGTGGGATGAAAGGACTTAGGGAGCAAGTAACCAAAATAGACTTTTTAAACCGATATTTTGCCCGTTGCCATGGTTACGGACCATTATGTGTTTTGGCCATTTTGGGGCAATTTTGAGGCTGCAAAAATTCATTTTTTTGGCGTTATTTTCAAAGGTCATCAAGCCAAGCTGCGAAGTAATGTCACAAAAGTAACTATATCAGGACAAAGTATCATCCTTACCCTTACAAGAAAAAAATAGAAACACTTCTGAAAAATCTCCTTTATATTATTTTTAGGCCCTATAATACAGCATATTTTTACAACTAGCAAAATTGCATTTTTTACCCCATTTTTATCCCTCCAAAATGGTACTTGCCAGGGCACTCAGAATAATTTCCCTTCGGCTATGGTTAGTTCAGACAATGGTCTTTTCATATCTGGTGAGAAAATTTTGGGTTATTGTTTATCCTTTGTGCAGTAGCGCTCCAAAAATGGTAAATTTCACAAAAACCTTAAAAAGTGTATTTTCAGTGTTTTCCTTTGTTTTGAGTAATAACTTGTGTAATTGGTAGTGTTCATGAATCTAGCACGTTTTCACAAACAGAATCAGACTGTGTATCATTTTCAGATCAGTGGATGAATAGTAGGTCGTGTACTCCCCCACACACACACACACCTGGCTAGGCCCCGCCCACTCCCCCTGTGCCACCGAATTTTGAACTTGTATGTTGCATAACAGAACAAATGTAAATAAATATTTTGCAAGTGAACACTTTAGACATAACATAGACTTCCTTTTTACAGCCTCCCCTTCCCCCACCCCGGGGGAATTGTAGGGGTTGAGGGTGGGGTGTGACCACCCACCAATAACTTGGCATTGTTGGTAAAATCATTGTCACATGGGTAAAACTCGTGTGTTTGCAAGCCGCAATGAATAATAATGGCCATATCCATTGTCCTCTGATTGAAGTGCATTCATTAGTTAAAATAATGATGTCTAGTCCTCCCCTCCCAGCTAGGCCTTGCCCCTTCCCTTACCACCAAATTCAGATTTTGATTGCTACTTGAATTTGCCTACATAAAAATTGTAAATAGATATCAATTTGCAAGTGAACCTTTCATAATTTACACCAACAGGCGTACCCGTCTCACAGCCCCCCCCCCCCCCTGCAACCCCTCTTCCTACTCCAGTGCTCATTATGAGCAACGACCCCTCCCCCTCCCAAAGAATGCAACATGTATTATTGTTAAGGTTCCATTTTGCCTTGCGGAAAGTCCACATATTTATATGCACTATGTAGGTTTGGCTATTTTTTTGTCAACATGGGAGTGGTTTGGAATATCTGGAAAGCGCGCGGGGGAGGGGGGTGTAGTATGGATACATGTACATGGTACATGTACGTAATGCTGTACTTTTTTAAGCAAAATTGCATTTTTAAAATTATTTTCAACACAGAGAAGTGATATGGCGATTACGAGAGCAAATAACTCATATTTTTATATTAAAATACATGTACTTTAAAACAACTATCACTCTAGTGAAAACTCAAAATGGCCTCTATTTTGATTGATTGAATTGTCTTGGCCCTGCGTGTAAATATGATCAGATCGAGCACATATAAAGTCGAATATAGTACCGTTGCAAGGGCGGATCCAGAACACAATTTGTTGGGGGGCCAAAAAAAAATTTGGTCCCCCAAAAAAGTGGGTCCAAAAAATTACGGCGTGGGGTTCGGGGCCCGCTTAAGGGCCCCGAAAATTTTTTGGATTCTAGATGCTCTGTGGTGCGATCTGAGGCAATTTCTGACCACTTTAACCAATGTTTTTTTGAGGAAAAGATGGTGGTGTACTCATTGCCTGCCTTTATTGCGATGTCACATAAAAAAAAAAATGGTTTCGTTTTTTTGGGGGGGGGCCATGGCCCCCTTTGCCCCCCCCCCCCCCCTGGATCCGCCCTTGTACCGTTGTGGGTGCTGCTATGCCCTCCAAAATAGTAATTTCGTAATCAGCATGACATTTTCAGTCTCTTCCAAACTGTCTTCAGTAGTCAACATGGCCACAATTCTGTGGTGCATCCATTGTTGCATGACAAGCAATTTAAATGTATTGGTGCTTATAAATTACAGTGCTTTTTTGTATACAAGCAGGGAATGTTTTGTTAATGTGTTAATTAAAAAGAATATGAACTTCCCCACCGAACCACAAGTGCTTACAGATTTTAACCCTTTCTGGCGGGTATTTGGGTTTTTTTCTGAAAGGGAGGGGTACAGCACACTGTGATCCCCATGTTGATTTGCATATATGCTTTGACCGATTTTGACCATTACTCTATAATATGACATTCTTGGTTCTTTTGCTGTTACCACTAGAGTGTTTTTTTAATATTTTTATTCCAAACTCTTGTCTAGATAACATTTTGGGCATAATTTCTTTATTTGTTGTGTAAACATTCATCCCAGTCAGGCAGTTGTATGCATCACTGCCATAGGGACTATATACTTACTGATTTTATTCCAAAAATGTGTGGGTTTTCAACCCGAATTGGCAACACTAAAGTAAATATACATAATTGTGGTGATGTTATTTAATGCTCTGCAATTGATTCATGTAATAACTATCAGAAACGTACTTTCAGGGTCCATCTGTGGTTGTCTCTTCTCATGACATGTCCTGCCCAACTCCACTTTTTTCTTTTTGATCTCAACTATTATGTCTTGCACCCCTGTCTTTCTTCTAAGATCTTCGTTCCTTATTCTGTCTCTCTTTGTGACCCCTGAGCATGTATTGTTGTTAATTATATAGCCATGAATTTCAGTCTAAAGATAATACTTTCGTGATAGGTTTTGAAAATGGAAGTATTTTTTTACTTTAGTTTATGAGCACCGATGTCTTTACAACGGTTGCCATGGTAATAATGAACACACTACAGAAGTGTGTTTGGTGCCATGGTGACCACTGTTAAAAGTCACAAAATTTCACGTTGATCAGGCAAGTACAAATTTGGAGGACACTTCCACTAAAAAAATACTTCAGACCCTAACTACATGTATATAGCCAAGTCAAGTCAGAGTGAAATTCATGCAATCAAATTGATGCTGTGTTCTCTCGGAGTTTTCACTGGAGTGATCCTTGTTTTAAAGTACATCATGCATTTCAATATAAACAAATAAGAGTTAGTTGCTCTCTAAATCGCCAGATCTTTTCCGTTTTGAAAATAATAAAATAGACATCATTTTGTTCACCACACCTTTACTGTAATTCCAAGGTAACTTGCAATATAAAAAAAATGTGTACAGTGTACATGCTGTGTACAGTGTATATGCGTGTGTCCAGATCACCCTTCCCACACCCCCCCCCCCACCCCCAGCCCCGTGACATACACACCCCTTCTCCTCCTCGCTTTTCGGATATTCCAAGCTGCCCCGTCTTGTAAAAAAGCCACCTTACATAATTCAGACTTTCCCCAAGGCCATATGCATGTATGTAATCTGAATTGTACTTGTTGACTTGTTGGGGGAGAGGGCGGGGTTCTCTTTTGAGCTTTGGGAGTGGGGGTGACAGGGGAAGGGGCTAGCTGTGAGACGGCTGTTGGTGTAGATTGTAAAAGGTTCACTTGCAAATTGATATCTAGTATTTACAATTTAATTTAGGCAAATACATGCAGAAATCAAAATCTGAATTATTATTCATTGCGGCTTGCAAACACATGAGTTTTACCCATGTGACAATGATTTTACCAACAATGCCAAGTTATTGGTGGGTGGTCACACCCCACCCTCAACCCCAACCAATTCCCCCGTGGTGGGGGAAGGGGAGGTTGTAAAAAGGAAGTCTATGTAATTTCTAAAGTGTTCACTTGCATATTATTTATTTACATTTGTTCTGGTATGCAACATACAAGTTCAAATGCGGTGACACAGAGGGAGTGGGCGGGGCCTAGCCAGGTGTGGGGGGGAGTACACGACCTACTATTCATCCACTGGTCTAAAAATGATACACAGTCTGATTCTGTTTTTGAAAAT